CTGGGGCTGGGCCACATGTGCACGAACGGCTCCAACCCTCTCCTCCTCCCGTCTCCATTGTAGGAAAACACAAAGTGACACAAAAAAATAAAAACTCGGAGGTCCGCGCGGATTTCTCGGATCGGCGCTGGACCCCCCTCCTTGGCGCGCGGAGCGCGCCAAGGGCGGCGCCGGAGGCGCCGCCGGGGGGCCCACGCGCCGGTCCGAGAAATCCGCGTGGACCTCCGAGTTGTTATGTTTATGTCACTTTTTGTTTCCCTACTCCTCCCGCCTCCATGTCCCCCTGCTCCTCCCCCTCCTCCCGCGCCTCCGTCCCCACCTTGCTGCCGGCGTGCTCCTGCCTCCTGCCTCGTGCCTCCTGCCTTGTGCCTCGTGCCTCTGGCCTCCTGCTCCTCCTCTCTCCCTCCCTGCATCCCCTCGCCATCGCTCGGACGTCCACTCCCTGTGTTTTTTTCGGTTTCGTGCGTGGTTTTTCGCCAAATGATCTAGGATGCTCCTCGATGGTCCTCGCCGAAGGAAAAATGCACACGTCCGAGCGATGCCAAGTCCCCCTCCCCCCCATCCATCCTGCTTTTCGGGTGCTGCTGAAAGTGCCCCTGGCCTAAGGTGCCCCCAAGATTTCGAAGGAGGCCGCAACAGAAAATGGTTCCAGATAAAAGCCTGGGGGAAGGGCGGTTCCATGGACCCTCCTCCCATACCCCCCCCCAAGACAGGCCCACCCCCCAGAGCCCGCCCGAGCGCGATGGCGGAATCGAGCGACAGCACAGACGGATAGACGTAACGTGTTCATATGGCCGCAAGCGCACGCCTATGCAGTGCGATGTTCAAGTGTGCGTGTGATTAACTGGCGATATTTGTGACCATGCACACATGCATGCATGCACACGCACACACACATACGTAGATAGGTACCCCCCAAGGACCCTCCACTTTGTTTCACTCATTGATTTTCCATTGTCTCCGCACTGTACCAGCGGCGAACTCTCGCCGCGATGTAAGCTTGAATAGTTTGCGTCGGTGGCCGTTGGAGGTCGCAAATCAACAGCAGAAGCGGAGCGAATATCTCTGTAGTGCTGACTGCTGCTACCTCACAGTAACACTTACGAAATGCATGGCAACTCGTTGTCAACGCATGCTAGCTGATGCGACAGAGTCAAAGTGGTGCAACATCGATGCTTCAATTATCCCCGTTCTCTGGAGCCAAACACTCGTCGATGCGGCAAAGGCGACATTCTGCAAAATGCAAGTTTTCCTGTGCTTCCAATTCTTCGGCGCCGAACCGCCTGCAGCATCGACGAGGCCTCGACGCCAGAGGATTGGAAACGTTTGAAGCATTGGATGTTACCGCATTTCCCGTTTGCCGCAGCGATGCGGGCCGAGTTGCGGTGAGGATGCAGGAGGAGGACCAGGAGGAGGAGGAAGAGGAGGAGGAAAGAGGTTAGGGAGATGGCGGAGAAGACGGTGAGGAGGAGGCGATGCTGCACACGTACGATCCGTCTGGGTCGTGCTTCGGCACGCATCCGCTGGGAGGTCCATAGGGCTGCAGTATACACTGCACAGAGAAAGACCTCAGGAGGCAGCCACGACGAGGGCGATGCGGATCGAAACGAGGCGGCTCTGAGAGCGCCCAAAGGAAGGAAGCCTCGAGAAGGAACGGGGAAAGAGGCCCGAAACCAAAACTTCAAACAAACGGCATTGAATCCTGCTTCAATGACGCGAACAACATGTGGAATACGTTTCGCAGCTTCTCCTCCTCCTCCTCCTCCTCTTCCGCCGCCCCCCTCCTACCTCGAATGGATACGCGCCGAAGCACGACAAAAAATGAATCGCATGTGTGCGTCCCAGTGGATGCGCACCGAAGCACGCCCCAGAGGAATCGCACGTGTGCGTTCCAGTGGATACGCGCCGAAGCACGACCCAGACGAATCGCACGTGTGCGTCCAAGTGGATACGCGCCGAGGCATGATCCAGAGGACTCGCACGTGTGCGTCCCTATGGATTCGTGCCAAAGCACGACCCAGAGAGGTCCCACGTGTGCGTCCCAGTGGATGCGCGCCGAAGCACGACCCAGAGGGATCGCGCGTGTGCAGCATCGCCTCCTCCTCACCGTCTTCCTCCTCCTCCTCCTCCTCTTCCTCCTCCTCCTCTTGGTCCTCCGCCTGGTCCTCCTCCTGTTTCCTCACCGCAACTCGGCCCGCATCGCTGCGGCAAAAGGAGATGCGGTAACATCAATTTCTTCCAATGTTCCCAGGCGAAGCCTCGTCGATGCTGCAGGCGGTTCGGCGTCAAAGAATTAAGACAATTGGAGAATACATGTTACAGCATTCCCCCTCTGCCGCATCGACGAGGATCTGGCTTCAGAAAATTGGAAAAGTCAGAATAGTTGAAGCTTACAGCATTTCCCCTCCTGCCGCATCAACAAAGGGTCGGCTCCAGAAAATTCATAAATTTGAATAAAACATCACTTCCGCTCTGCCACATCAACGAAGGTTCGGCGACTGAGAACTGCCTTGCTTTTCGTAAGTGATGCTCTCGGGTAGCAACAGTCAGCACTAAAGAGATGTCCGCTCCGCTTCTGCGTTTGATGTGCGACCTCAAATGGCCATCGGAGCAAACCATTCAAGCTTACATCCGCCCAGGATGGGGTGTGAGAAAAAGTTGGAGGGACACTGGGGGAAACCCACATATACACATATAGATACTGTACATGTATAGGCCATGGTGTGAACATGTACGGAACGTATAGGTGCATGTACGTATATGCAGAAGCTGCAAAATACGCATGCACGCATATCAACCGTACAACCATATACACGTGTCAATGAATAGTATGAATACAGGTGTGCGCTTGTGCTTAAGCTACACTACACGTACGGCATAGACAATCGCAACAACACTCATCGTGAAGGTATGTGTGTATGTATATGTGTACGTATGTATACGTGTTTAATTGAGTATGTAAGCTCCAGCTGCAAATACACGTATGAGGTAGACAGCAACAACAAAACAGTTGGTTACGTGTGTGCGTGTGCGTGTGCGTGTGTGTGTGAAGATAGAGTGCGCGTTTTCACGTGTATTGGAATAGACAATTTGAACGTGCCGGGAGCGCTCAGAATGGCAGGTGCAGTTGGAGACGAACGAGGAGGGCGCAGGGGCTGCGCAGTGGTGAAGGCAAATTCGTACCACGGTGCAGCCCTATCGTTGGTCCGTCTTGGACCGTCTTGAGGCAGCCTTGGGGTCATCCTGGAGGCCGACTGGGCCCGCCTGGCGACACCTTGGAGGTGCCCTGGGGCTCTCCGGAGTCCTCGGGACTGCACCCTCCCAGGACCCTGCCAGAGCCCCCAGAGTCATCGAAATCTAGCTTACCCGATGGAACTCTGGGAGGGCGCAGGGGCTGCGCAATGGTACGGACTTGAACGCAAAAATCGTGCCACTGTGCAGCCTGCGGGAAACCAGAAGGTACCGATACCGCTACTCTCAAGGCCTCTCCCAGCCAGGGTGCATTCTGACCAGAATTTCGAGGCGAATCCAGCGGTGGCGACGAAGCCCACCTGGGAGGCCTAAAATTGCGAAAACGAGGGAAGGGTAGCGGTATGGGTACCTTCTCCTCCTCTGAGCCTGGAGGTCTTCCCAGCTAGGGCTGCCCCCCCCAAGGAGGGCAAAGTAGCGGAGTCTACGGTCCCTTTCCAAAATCGGCGGAATGCCCCGGAGCAACCTGCTTATCAGAGAGCAGGGAGGTCCAAGAGCAAGTGCAAGGCAGAGACAGATGAATGAGGTAATTAACAAGGAGGAAAAGAGGAAGAGGAGGGGAAGGTATGAGAGAGAAGGGGGAAAGGGAAGGAAGACGGAGGAGGAGGAGGAGGAGGAGGAGGACGGAGAATGGGGGCCTTCCGTCGCGAGCACCAGCAAACGCACAATAACACGCCTTCTCTTTCTCTGTCTCCACTTCCTTCCCGCCTCCTCCTCCTCCTCCTTCTCCTCCTCCTCCTCCTCCTAACCCACTGTGTGCTTCCCTCGGGAATCTCCAGAACCACCCTTCTACTTCTCAACCCACTTACTTTTCTCATTATCCTCCTCCTCCTCCTCATTTCCCTTCTCCATCTGTTCCTACCTCCTCATCCGTTTCCCTGGCCTCAAATTACCAACTTTCACGAACCACAGAAGCCTTCGAATCCATGGATTCCGACAGCAGTTCCCCAAACAGTGAATGCACTTCGAGGTTCGCACTTGTCTCCGAAGGAACTGGGTCTGGGGGTCGGTTGGCGGTTCCGTGGTCGCCGTCGCCGCCCCGTCGTCGCCTCGTCGCCGCCCGTCGCCGCCCGTCGATTCGGCCTGGGCATCGGTTTGGCAGTTCCGTGGTCGCCGTCGCCGCCCCGTCGCCGCCTCGTCGCCGCCCGTCGTCTGGGCCTGGAGGTCGGCCCGGCGGCTCTGTGGTCCCCGTCGCCGGCACCGCCCCGTCGCCGCCCCGTCGCCGCCCGTCGTCTGGGCCTGGGTGTCGGTCTGGCGGTTCCGTGGTCGCCGTCGCCGCCCCGTCGCCGCCGCGTCGCCGCAACAAGGACGGCACCTCATAGATCTCCCTTATCCAACAGAAAATGATACGATCGACCCCCCTCTGGCCATGACGACCCCCCTTTTTCGTAATGCTATGTACCCTTACTTATGCCGCATCGTCCATCCTCATAGTGGATCCGTACCATCCCATGCAAGCTGGTACCGCCCGACCCCTCATCTTCTGAAAATGCACTTTGCGCGTACACTCGTTTATCGTAAAGCATAGATTTTCCTTCGTCTAGCAAACATGGGGACAAAGTGCACACGCGCGCGTTGTCGCGCGTGCATGCCATATGTTTATATACGTTTGTGTTGCCATATCTTGCTTAACAAGGAAATCAAGAGCGAGCGCCCCGAAATCATGTAAAAAAAAAGGTTTCGCAACACGACGGTTCAAGAAAACTTGCGCCCGCAATCTTGCGAATTCTTCAGAAAATCCGGGGGTTTCA